TGTACTCTTTCTCTCTCTGTATTCACTGTGTGTCAATGTAGGCTTGCCAGCCCCTCTACTTTGGGAAGACCGGAGCCTGTGTTGAAGGGGGGCGGGTGGAAGTCAACCTCTGGAATTAGAGGAGGGGGGACGTTTTGGATCTGGCGATGTTTTGTTTGGCGGGGAACCCCCTGAAGCGTCTTCCGCCAACATCAATGATGTCCACCAAATTGGCCTCATCATTTTACCATGATCACAGTCACCCCCGTTCAGTGGTAGGCCAAAGCGAACAAACCAAATTTATCTTCTGACTTTGCGAACTCGCCAGAAAACCAACAGAATGACTTTCGCCAAAGGGTCGCACGGCGCCAGACTGTTTCTCCCACGAAGCGATAGGCGGCCTTCGGCGCGGACGCTGCCGCCCGCTGGGCGGCCATGGGGCCGGTGCCCGAGGCGCCCGCTCCGCCGCCGAAGGCGCCGGCTCCGAAGGACGAGGGGAGGGTTCTGCGCCGACGGCGAAGGGACACTATGGGTACGTGTTTAAGGGTTTCACCAGAAAGCCCTGGGCTCTTAGACCATAGCCTTGAAGCGCCCTAGGGGTGAATGAGGTAGAAAAAGGATACGAAGCGCGTCAATTCTTGTTAGAGGGAACCTGGCAAAGGGTGGTTTTTACTTTGTCTTTCCGTTGGGCCAACCAAAAGAACATGTAGCTCCGCAGCATGTGAGCCATGTGAGCCCAACAAATTTCTTGGGGGTCAAGGTAGGTTGACATCGTTTGACTAAGCCATGCATTGCTCTCAAACGTACGCAACAATAATCACAAGGAGCAAGTCCTAGGTTGAAAGCGAGGCTGACGCTATGAGAAGCGCTTGGACGAATCGCATATTTTGTTGGACCCATTGATGGCATTCTAGCCAGGTTGTGCTCATGGCTTTGCGCGGTCTCTAGGCCTGCCGGCCTAATGTTTTTTTGGTTACCTCGCGGAGGGCAGACGAAGCATTTTGGCGGGTGCGCCCCTTTGGTTTGGGCCCTTTGGAAGATGAGTCGTTTTCGTCGTGGGGCTCAAGAACCATTGGAGAATGGGACAGATATTTCAATTCGGGTTTTGAGATTGGTTGGGGCTCATAGCGGCCAAGAAGGCTTATTAGGGGGGCTTGCCAAAAGGTAGCCTTTGTTGGAGGGGGGTCTTGGAATTGCCAAACCTCAAGTTGGTGGAATCTTCATAATGTTGACCCCAGATCCAACAAGAACCCGTCCTGGTACACAGGGGGGTGGGGGGTCCCAAAGTGGTGAGCCCCCACTCAAGCCAGGGACACCTTATCAAGAAATTTGGGTTGATGAATCTCGGGTTCCCATTAAATGCCTAGCTGTGTTTCGAGGAGCCTGCGCAGTTTCTGCGCAACACTGGCAACGATGACCGGCCCATGCTGGCAAACGAATCCTTTTACAGGCCGGACGTAGCTGTGCATGCGGCCCTGCTCCCCAATCTGGGAAAGGAGGGGTATTTATTTTAGTTTTTTTTTTTTGCTTTTGGCTTCTTGGCTTCTTGGCTTTTTGGCTTCTTGTTGGTTTACGCGGCTTTTGGTGGGCTTTGGCTTTTCGCACTGCGTTCAAAGTTCAAACCAGGCGGCGTTTGCAGCTTGTCGCTGGTTTATGCGGCTTTTGGTGGCTTTGGCTTTTCGCATCCTCTGCTTTCCCAGTTCCTCTCCGGTTCATTAGTTTTTAACTTTGGCTTCCCGCATCCTCAGCATCACCAGTCCCTCCCAATTTGAATCATCACTTCTTCGAACATTATGGGGGGGCGCTGCCCCCCCCCAACCTCCCCGCAACTTGTTGGATTGTTTGCAAAGATTTGATTGCACCCCTAGTTGAATCATCGCTTCTTCAAACATCATAGGCGGGCTGCCGCCTCCCCCCGAACCCCCGCAATCTATAGTAATCTATGTAATCTATGTATGTTTGTATGTATGCACTTCTTCGAATTCATAGGGGAAGCCACCCCCGCCAACCCTCCCGCTTCTTTTTATCTTCGATCGCACCCTTTCTTGAATCACAGCACCCTATTTTAATCATCACTTCTTCGAACATCATGAGGGGGGGCTGCCGGCCCCCCCCAACCCCCGCTACTTTTCAGATTTTCTACAGAGATTTAATTGCACCCCTAGTTGAATCATCACTTCCTCGAACATCATGGAGGGGGTGCTGCCGCCCCCCCAACCCCCCCGCTGCTTTTTAGACTTTGCAGAAATTAATTGCACCCCTATTCGACGATTTGTTGGTGATGCTAGGGATGTTGGTCGGACATGCGGGGGATGTTGAGAACAATGCTGGGGATGTTGACGGGCTAGTGTAAAATACGTCAATTTTGCCAGAAAATGCTGTAACATACGACATTTTCCCGGCCCGGACGAAAAACGAACAAATCCCAACATAAAACGAACAAAATCCCAAAGTAAATCCGCATCCTCGGGGAAATCTGGGTGTGTCTTTTTTGGCGGTACTTTCTTTTGAGAGGAACCCCACCTTTTTAGGGGAGTCCCCCAAAAATGATACACCCATTATGCAAATTTAAGTCCTGATCACTTGCTCCTTGTTTGCGCGTTTTGGCGTCAATCTTTCGTGGGCCCTCTGGACGCCAACGTCACCCGGGGCCTGGCGTAGTCCTAGGGTGCATGACTCAGAGACTTAGCCTAGCTTGCGCGAGATACTGCGAGTCGAGATGTGAGCACCCCGGATCTGGCAGGCGTCCTTGAGGTGGGTGACAAGCATTATGTTCATACGGGTTGGCTTCTTGGGCTCTCCGCATGCTGTGACCCTCAGGGTGTTGGCAGGCAGCGATGACCACGGGCAAGCAAGCCCCTGTGCAAAGTGCTCCGCTCATGTTTTTCAAAGCGCCACAGCACCTGCAGAAATATGTTGGCTGTGTGCTTTACGTTGTTTTGGACTTCCAGAAGCGGCAGTGACTGGCTGGAACCCACCAGTGAGTTGATCATCTCTCGGCTTGGGGGTAAACGCTTTTCGGTTTGATGCCTTTGTGTCGAAGGTGTGGTCCACATGGCACCATTGATCTCTTGGGACCTATGGGCCAATGGGAGTCAATTTGTCCTTACTTTGCCGTGTTTTGGACCTGTCGCCCCGCAGGTCCCTCGCGGACGTGCGGCCCTCGCCCGGCGGCGGACTCCGCCGCGGCAATGCGCCGGCGCTGCCGGCGCCGCCGGCGCCGCCGGCGGAAGCGAAGCCGCGGTCGAGCTTCAGCTGTCCCTGCTGCCGCTGGGACGGGACTCGGTTTGGAAGAAGTCACATGTCATGGATCGCTGAAGCTCGCAATTTCTCGTATTTTATTTTGCTCGGGACCTTTTGTTTTTTTGAACTTTTCGCGTCAGATGCACAGGCAGTCAGCGGGCTGAAGCCTCAAACGGCACCTCCGTAGCAACTTTACGGGCACGCAGGTAGAAAAGCGCGTAGCGCTCTTTCCTGGCCAAGTTGTTTGAACCCTTTTGATTTTGGCAGTGGCGTCGTGACCCTTCGGGAATTTGCGCACATGGAGAAGCTGTCAAGGGGTGAAGCGGGCGCTTTGAGGCAACCATCTCTTCCACGTCTTCGTGGAGGACGGGGCCTACCATACGCAGCCCGTCTCGGGGGCGCTGGCTGGGGTGCGCCTGCAGCCGCAGAGGGATTGGGTCTTCAAGGCCTCGGTGGGGGGGGGGGGCTATGGCAGGCAAGAAGCAGGATACCATGAAGGAAGCTGGTTGCAACCTAGACCTAGGCCACAAAGTCTCCATCATCTGAAAGGGAATTGCGGGGGGTGGAATTGCGAGGGGGTTGAAAATTGATGGAAGGCCATACGCTTGATCACTTTCAGCTTCAGAGAAGCGGTGCTCCCGTGCTCTAAGGGAGATCGCGGGTAAGAAAGTGGCCAGCTCTTGTGAGTGGCCATGGTGTCAAGTGCTGCGCAGAACGGGAAGTGGCTCTTTTAATGATTTTTGAGAAACTCAGCTTTCACTGCAGAAAAGAACCTCAGAGGGTGGCCAGTCGAAGCATCCTGACTGGCACCATTTCCGCCGAACCCCTGTCCACTTACATGATTGTTGGAAAAGGGTGCTTATTGGCAGGTGTCACCTTTGAAGGTTCATCACTGTTCAATCGGAACCCCCTGCCCTAACGATCGGACCAGTTTATTAATCCTGGGCCAGCATTAAAGGAACAGCTGTCTATTTACGGACCTTTGTTTGAGACCCCCTCCCCCCCTCATGTTAGGGTTCAGTTGGTGGTTTGGCTTGGTGGTTCATTTGAACCCCTGGTTCTTGTAGAGGCTTGCTGCCACCAAATCACTGGGCGAACGGGGGGCCTCGATGCCTCGATGGAGGCCTTTGGCCGGGTCTTCGGCGCCACGTTGTCGAAACGGGGCAAGGAGGACTTGGTGATCGACCCAGGGAGCTTGGTCCTTCAAAGCCTCAAGGACGGGCGCTCGGGTTCGCGAATTTCCGCCTTCCTATGGGGGTCGGGGGCAAGTTCTGGGCAAACGGTTTTTGTTGGCTTGTTTGGGCTGGTGGTTGGAAGGGAGCCGGACTCGGAGCTGGGGGTATCCAAATGTTCGGACCCCTAAATGGCGCATTGGTGGGAACCGGTGCTTTGGTTCTTGTAGAGGGTAAATGGGACACTAGAATGTGGAGCAGAATCTGAGCATGTTATTTTCTTGTGTGTCCCGGATGTGGGCCAAGGTTATGGGCGCTTGGAATGATGATCTAGCTGAAGGATGGATACATGGTGGACGGGTGTGCCTTTTCTTGACGGTACCTAAGGCCCTTTTTAGGCCTTTGGAAATCCAAATGCAAACCAATCCACCAAGGGCCTGATCTGACCCCCTTTGCCACTTGCACAATCCAAGAGAGGCTTCAGAAGGAACCCGGAAGGCCGACAAATATGACCAACCAGCGGCCCACAAAGCACCTGACAGAGTACTTGTTTGAGAATTGTTTGGACAGATTGATAGAAATCCATTTTCTGAAGAGATTTCCACAAGTACTAAGGCCTTGTTTGGGAGCCTGCCATGTTCTGCGAACAGGCGGGCACGGCTTGTGCAGGATGCTGGGGCGGTGGCCAAGTGGAACCAACAGCAGCCGGCCGCCGCGGTGGCGGCGCGACGGCAGGTTTTTCTCAACTTTCTGGGTCAGGCAGAGGTCCCGTCTTGGGGGTCTCAACACAGGTGGTGGTTTTTCCGTTTTTGGGGTTTCCCATTAGAATCCACAAACAAGGGGTTACCCTCGACAAAGAGACACCCGATCTTGTGAGGGTAGTTTGAAGCCCACTGGGTCTTTGTTTGTAGTTTGCGGGGTGCTAGTGCTTGGCAATCTGCCAGGGTCCTGTTTCTACTCTGTGGGTGTGGAAAGAGCCCTTCCTACAATGCAGCTATCAGTGTCGATGTTTTTTCGGGTGAGGACCCATAATGTTCAGGTGGTTTAAAGACAGCACGTTTTGGGCCGAATTGAGAATGTTGGACAGTTGTCCGCTTTTGGATGTTGTTTTGTCCCCGCTCGATGTGTTTTGACCTTGATTTAGTTTTCTCTGCTTTGCTTTGAACATTACCCTCCCAAAAACAACCATAGAACAGCACAGGAACCGGTCCGAAAGGACAATGTTCTTCTAGGAGGTTGGCTACAGGTCAACCAGTATTTCTGCTATGCCAAGATAAACGGCAGCTGGCAACTGGAGTTGAAGCCCCCCCCCCTCCTCCCCCGGCTTTCTTCTTGGCACATCGGGACCTAAGGACTCGAATCTCGGTCGTGAGTTGGGAGGTCGAATGCCGGACAGGGCTTTTCGATTGGACGGATTGCCCGGTTGGACGCAGCTTCCCTCGAAGAGAGAGGGCGGTTTGGAGGAGGTCCGCGGGAGGGTTAATGCCTCCTGCCTTGCTGCATCACATTTCTGAGATCCCCTGAAAGCCAAGGTGGTTGGGGACTTGGTGCTGGAGGTGAACAGCAAACCTGCGCACCAAGCCCTGCAGGCGCTCTCTGTCCAAAATGGATCGACCCAAAATTATCTTTTTCCAATTCTTGAGGATAGCCCTTTTCTGGTGGCTTTCAAGGGAAGCCACAAGGATAACATTATTTTTGGTTGGGGTGGTCTCCAAGAAAAGGGCGCATTCATTTTGAATTGCCGTATTTAGTCAAGGTCCCAAGAGCTGGTCACCTTGTGTTTCCAGATATCTGGGCAAATGAAAAAGCTATAAGGCAAAACACGGGCTTGTTCTTTGCATGGTGCAAAATATTCGCAGAAGTGAATGGTTAAAGACTTCCTCAGCCCCGTGCCAGGAGCTGCAGGCCCCGGAGCCAGATTTGCAGCTGCTCCTGGCGCGGCCGTTGGGTGGGGCTACCTTCGCTGTGGAGCCGCAGGCAGGTTCGCGCAAGCGAGCGCCGCCTGGTGCACATCCCTTTTTATGAAATAAATGACATGTCTTTGTGGGTTCCACTGCAAGCTGCTCCAGACATGATCGGGGAAGTGCCCTGTACTTTCATGGTATCTAAGTAGGGTCTTCAACCTGGTCCGAACCGAAATTCGCAATCGAAGGTGCCTAGCCAAAATGCACTTAGGTTTTAGGCTTGTAGAGTTTGGTGGTAGTTTCACTTAAACCCTGTAAACTCCAAAAAGTGTTCGACTTTCAGGGGATCGAAGGTTGGAGCTTCCCCCCCCGTTTTTTACGGAGTCAGGTGGGGAAGAAAGGACTGGACTGGCAGCTGAGCCAAAACCTGGTGCTGATCACATCCCCAGCTTCCGATGCCTCTGCGGACTCGGACAAGGCGCCGGAATTGCCCTGGCCGGTGCAGGGGGACAAGGTGGTGCAGGTGAACCAGCGCCTCGAAGCCGCAGCGCCTCTTTTTTGGTGTCCTGTTTAGGTCAGGTAGCTCAAGCAGACGGCCCTGATTTGTGATCGAGGATGGGGTTCTGCACATGTTTCACAGGTTTCGAGCGAGTGCGCCGATTAAGGGGGTAGAACGAGGGGAAACCCATAGATGTCCTTTGCCTGAGGTGTTCAGATAAGCATGGGGGGGGACCCCTAGGACACCCCTATCGCTTGCATCCTACGGAAGTTGCTCCACGGATTGTCTTAAGACAAGATCAGTTTCTGGGATCTTGGCCCCACGTCTCAGGTTGTAATGGGGGAGGGGCCTGGTCCCATTTGAAGATCCGGCTGTGCCTCTTCGAAAGCCGCGGTTCTGTGAAGCTTTCGGCAGCCCACGATGAGATGAGCTGTTTTTGGCACGACGCAATCCCACATGTCTGACCTGAGTCGACTGGTCATGACAAAAAATCAGAAACACAAGCACAACAAGTTCGACACGTTCCAATTAGTTGGGGGGAGGGGGGGTGTCTATTGCATGGCGTACCTCGGGGTATGCTAAGGCTTCTGTGAACCGCACGCCCAGGTGTGTGGGCTTGGAGTCCATGCGCAAGGCCTCTGATCTCGGGTTGAACCCCCCCCACCCCTCCTCCGGAGCTTTCACAGCAGGGACAGGGTTGCGAGTGGGGCGCCCACCTCTTCCCCCCAAAAAACAAGAGCAAAGTCGGGTCAGCATTTGGGGCAACGTTGCAACAGCCAAGCGGCCAAGCTCAGCCGGGCATTTGGGACCACACCTGGCGCAGAAAAATGAGCAAAAAGAGGGGCTTCCAAACTTGCCCAGAAAATGGAGCTGATGTGGAGAACTACCAGCTGTAGGGAATACTATACCTAATTCCAACGGTCAGTTTCAACTTACCGTGGAAAAGCAGCTGAGGAAAGAAGATGCGAATCCTTGGGAAGAAGATGGTTATTGGATGATCCTGCCGGAACCCCGCAAAAAAGGGGGTCTCGTGATTTCGATGCCTGGGGAGTCGTGGTTCTTGAGGGGGGGGACGCAGGCAAAGCAAGTTCAAAGGGGGGCGGGGCCAGAACTACCAGAAAAGCCACAAACAAATGAATATCATTTTGCAATACATTTCAAAAGGAGACCAAAATCAAGAAGTTTTAAGTTTGACATAAACGGACAATTGACTCACGTGATATATGATGGTCAACAATTTACATTATCACATAAACCAAGTTGAATTTACATTTGTCAGGGCAACCAATTTTTATTAAAATCAACAAATGAGAGTGCGAATCTGAAATTCAGTTTCACACTGAAAAATCCACAAATCAATTGAAATCCGAAAAGGATAAACATGATAAATCCGAAAATTGGAAAACAATTGAACATTTTCAGACTCAATCTGAAAAAAACAGATTCAATCTGAAAAAAAATGAACAATCAGAATTGACCAATATTCAATCTGAAAAATATGAAAAATCAGAATCAAAAAATATTCAATCTGAAAAATATAATAAATCGGAAGTTTTTGGTTAAAAAAACAAACCCACACTTAACCGAATAAAACAAACTACGTTACCTGATCACCTTGGTTATCTAAAATGCCAAAATATAGGTGAACATATGGCATTATATGATACAGGTGCTAGTATAAATGCAAGTGATTGGGATTTTGCACATAAACACCTTAATCCAAAACTTATTAAACAAAAAGAGGACAAGCTTTTGTTATTGGCAAGAATCACGCGAAGATTTTGGGAGCGTTCTTTCGTGATTTCTGTCCCGGCAACCGCGAGTGGATCGCTTAAACAAAGTTGTGGGATAAATGGAGGCCCCTTGACTACTGCTAATACTGACCATGGATTAATTTAGAGAGCTGGGTCTGTGGCGGAAGGAAATCGAGAAGTCGAAGCAGCTCACCATCATCGTAATGAGACGCAGGTGACCTGATCTGCCGCACATTCCCGATAACTACGTCGATCTCGATGCGCATCGAGCAGAACCTCAGTTCTTCAAAGCCGACCTTCTGACCGGATTCATACCTTTTGGGTTTTGCCTTTTGGTCTATTTTGTTTTTGGGTCATCGCAATCCAAAAGCAGACTGGGCAACAAAGGAGCCGAAGGCTGCACGGCGAGCGACGGCGAAGCGGGACCCGGACCGCAACGAGCTGGCGAGGAGGCAAGCGACCGGACACTGAGCCTCCGTGCGGATGGGAGCCTCCGGAGACTCAGCACGTAGCAGTTTTTCTAGACGAGGGAACCACCTGCACAAGTATGTTGCCTTTTTCTGGCTTGTGTGAGTCAAGTCCAGTAAACCATTGGTCAATGGTGGGAGGGCTAGCCGCGCCGGCCGAAGGGCCGGTCCTTTGCGAATCGTGCGGTTGAGCGAGCGAGGAACAAAAGGGGCGAGCCGTGCTTTCCGGCTTGCGGCTTGCGTGTTTCCTCCCCGCTGTTGTTTGGGCCGTTTTGCGGCGGAAGGTCCGGTCGACAAGTCCGTTTTTCTGCGGGTTAGGGGTGGATTAAGTGCCTCCTGACTGCATGGCTCCAGGGTTCATTACATGCCATGCCTATGTTTAACTTCTACATGCGAGCGCAGCTTTGGGGCTATGTCAGTGATTTGAACTGAGTTCCATTCTGTGAGCGCTGAAAAAGGAAAGGTTCGGGTTCGTTGACTTTCTCCCCGCTGATGAGGGCTGCTCTGCAATTCGCTTGTGGGTCGCCGATGCCGCCTATCATGGTTTCGAAGTCAGACTTCTCCCAGACCAGCATCCTATCAGTGTTTTCTGTTGGGGAGGATGTGATCCAAAAGATCTTCTTGTTTGTGCACTCCAGGCAGCTGCTCTACGCTGGAATGGTTTGGGGGGGTTCGATGGAAGGCATCAACTTGCATGACTATGCGGGGCCATTGTGCTCCGGATTTGCACCCGGCACAGGGTTCGTCACCATGAGCCGCTGGGGGCCCGTGTGAGGCCCGGTGCTCGCAATAGTCTATGCTGTCTGGTCGATCCGGGTGGCGCATGGGAGCATGGGAGCCACGCGTTTTTACTTTTTCTCACAACACACCAGAGGGGCGGCTCTACTTCGCCTTTGTCGTCTTTGCGGCTCAAGCCGCCGAACAGCGGGGCCCATTGCCATTCGGCGATGGGATGTGGAGCCAGCCAGAGGTATGAGGTGGGGCCAACCCGAGCTAAAACTGATATATATATATATATATACATAGATACATTTACGCACATACATATACATACGCACACATACAAATATAAATACATACGTAGTGGACAACATGTACGTAGATATAGCATGTAGAGGACGATAAGCAGGTGTACTCCATATTTCCTTTTTTTTTCTTGGGGTGCTGATTAGAAGCATCACTTTGGTGAATTCCACGGGTTACCCTCTTGCCCCTGTTGGTTCTTTCGTGGGGTCTGCAGGTACCACGGTTCCACGAAAGCCGGCAGGCCTTGAGTCGTTTTTCTCCGGTAAATCTTTCGGCCAGTGCCGAGAGCTGTGCGACCGTTTGTCCCCAGAGCTTGCGGGTTGGTCCATTCTTTGGCCCCTACGGTCAAGGTGTTGTACATACCCTCCCTCCCACGAATGTTGACCCCGGATCTAAGTAGAACCCTATGAATGAGGGGGTGTTCCCTCCAATGGTCTGAGTCCCCCACGAACAGTTCAGGGGGTTGCACACCCCGAACATCAACCAGGGGCTCTGCTACATCCGGGGTTACCACGAACCCTGGTCCCAGGACCAGTTCAAGGCGAGTGGGTCAGCTTCCATGCTAGGCGAAGTTTTTGTGGGGCTGGGATTTGAAGGTTTCAGGAGAAAGGGAAACCGTGCAAGTCCTGTCGCAAATTCGTGATTTTACATACTGTATGAAACATCATCCCAAACGAATTGAACTTTCCGTGTACCCGTCTTTTGGCGGTCAAGAAGGGGCCAGCCAAGGCCCCCCCCCTCGTGCGAATTGGCATGCTCCAGGTAGCACCGCTCAGCGGCTTGGAGGAGGAACGAAAGCCGGGGACCCCGATCGGCCATCGGGGCCCCTTTTACAAACCTCTTGAGATGGTTCCACCCCGAAACCGAAGCTACCGGGACCTAAGAATTAACATCACGACCAAACGGCTTGATGTTCGTGCCCCTCTTCCAAGCTTTGGGGTCGCCCTTTGTGAGGGGCATGGTGGAGGCCAAGTCACCGCGAAACCATGGGCAACTCAGGGGCAACTCAGGTTGGCTTTCTGAAGGTTGGCATCCTGTCACATGGGCAAAGGAAAACAGGCAAGGCTTGACTTGTTCAGTCGCCCAACATGAAAGTGGCGTGCTTTTTCGCCGGGAACGGACGAGGGGGGCAGGGGGCAGAGTTGGGAGGTAGGGGAGTCGGTTGGAATCCAACGACAAGAAGTTCGCTGTGAAGGCTTTCCATTTTGAAAGTAGGACAGATTCATGCTGACTGTTGCAATTTTTGGGCTGGAAATTTGATGACTCCCTGGGATTTGTTTCATCTTTAGGCTTGGTTTAGTGCCAGCTCCAAAATAGAGAAACCCTCGCAAGCCTTTTCAGGCCAGCCAGAGATTTGACCCCCTGGCACTTGTAAAGGGTAAATGGGACACCACTCCGTTTCACCACCAAACCAGCGGGCTCCAAAACCTTTTTGAGGGAATTCCAGAAGCTTTCAAGAGGTTCCTTTGGTCCAGAGGGGTGGCTCGGTTTTGTAGGAACCGGCCCAAACTTTGCATCGGTTTTTCATTTGGTTTGCCTTACAAGCTACCCTCAAACCATATTGTTTAAAGCACTATTGGGCACACAACCTCTTGTTTCTTGGTCATTTTGTTCTGTTCTTATTTTTAGTTGGTTTAGCGGCAGTTCCCACTAAACCACAACAAGTTCAACTTTCAGCAGGGGATCTGGGAACTGCCCAGTTTTTCGCTTCCCAGGAGGCCAGGTGGTCGTTCAAGCCACTTGTTTGCCTCAGGCCGCAGGCTGCGGTGGCTTCCAGCGACGCGACAGGCGCCCAGGGCAGTTGGGAGCTGATGGGCCGCCTTTTTGGTTTTTTTGGTGGGTATGTTTGAAGGGAAACGCAAGAGACGTCAATTGGGTGATTCATTTTTTTCTTCTCGGGTCTGTTTTTTTGAGAACCAATTCGTTTGGCTTCCTAGTCAGAGTAAAGGTCTGCGATGACACGTTTGGCTTCCCGAGGTGTACGATAGGCGTGCACAGTGAGGTTGGGGAAAATATCCACTTCTTCTTCTTCTCCTTCTTCTTCTTCTTCTTCTCTTCCAAGTCCCGCGCTTCCAACGGTTTCCAGTACTTCCTTGCCAACTCGGAAGGGGAAGTTCATGGCCCGTATGCCCGTAGTGGTGCTTGGTACTCGCATGTACTCGCCAATGCCCTCTTGCTACGCGTTTCGCCTGGTGCCTGGCATGGATTTGGTTCAACACTGGACAGCATCCGGGTAGGAGGGTTATCAGCCAGCGTTTGTACGGCATCATGCATCCCAATTGGTGAGACATGGATCTCGTCTTTGGCCGAGAGGAATCCGCACCAGAGGAATCCGCATTGCAACCCCGGCCAGGTGACGAGAAGCCGCAGCCTGAACGTCACCTTACACGCAGAGCCTGCTTGGGTGCGTCTTCTTTTGAGGGAACTCGTTTTGGGTTCGCTTTTGAGGCAAACTAAAGGGACACCACCCGTTCTGTGGGTTCCCCCATTTTGAGACATACCTACTTGGGTGTTCGATTCGCCAAAATTAGTAAGTTGTTGGAAACCGTTCGGCTTTACCCACTCATAGTTGCCCTCCGTTCAGTAGAATTACTAACTCTGTTGGTTGGTTGGCTTTCGCCACTTACTTGGCTCTTCCAAGAAGGTCCTTGTTTCAGCCCTTCGCATGTCCCATCTCCAGGAAATTCTCCAGTAAATCGCCCACACCCCAGGCTGTTTTCTGGGTATTTGGTTTCTTAGATCCTCGTGGTACTGTGTTTTTTTTTGGACCCTGGTCGTGCCACCAGGCCTTCCAACATCGGTCTGCAAACGGCCTTCAATAATTGGTCTGCCATGGACAGCCACCCACATTGGTGTTAGGGAGGGTCCTTTTTTCCTCTTCGTTTTTAGGCGGGGATCAAATGCCCTTCAGATCAACATGGAACCTCAAACAGATAAGAGTCACTCAGTTCTCCCATCGCAGTCCCCACATGGTTCCAAGCTAGATTGAAGGGGAAGGTTCTTTTGTTGGGCTCTGTTCTTTCCAGTTGCCGAAGCCAAGCGCTGCAGAGGTGTTGATTTGAAGCATGGCTTTGCACCATTGAACTTGGACAACTGCAACACATCATGTAGTGCACGGTTTAGTGTGCTGCCGGTTTTAAATAAAGTAAACATTAGCAAGCTTGGTTATATCCAAGGAACTGAGTTGCACTAAGTTTTCCATGTGCGCTAAATCGAATGCACCCCCCATCCCACCCCACTCTACCCCACTCCAAGGGGCTGCGAGTAATTCGGGTTCCCTTTTGGGCTCTCTTGGAAGGTTCCACCCTTTGATTTTAAGTAGGTTGAAGGTGGGGTTGAGGGGGGGGCGGGGACAGGGTGGAATCTTGGTTTGGTTTGCTTTTACTGGAGCACACGTTGGTGGGTCTTTTTGGCGACTGTCTTGTAACAGCAGGCCCCTGAAAGAGGGCTACGCCTGCCAGTTTTTTTCTCAATTTACCGCCAAGGCATCAAAAGCAACCCGATCTCCGATTCGACTTTTTGCCAAGGCCAACAAAATACCGACCGGTTGAGGAGGCCGCGTTTGAAGGCACGTGGAGAAACGAGAGAAGTTGCCCCCAGACGCTCCCGCCGAAAGGCAAACCAAGGGAGGGAACCCCCTTTAGACCAGCCGTACCCTCAAAGAGAAACATGTGCCATGCAGACAACACGGAACATGTTCAAAACCTTCGCCCAGTGCTGAATCGGCGACTGTGGCCTCCCTTGAAGCAAGGGTGGCAACCTCTCTAAACATGGAACTTCCCCGCTTTAGGGAATCGGGTGATGGCAGGGGCAAGCTTCTCAGGGCAACCACATGTTGCCAATAGTTGAGCCCTCAATTTCTAAGTTGTGTGGTTGGTTTCCTTGCTTTGTATTTGGGAGAGGGGATCCGCCGTATCTTTCTGGTGAGGGGGGGAATGCTCGACGGCCAGGGCGAGCGATGAACAAGGGTGTTGAACGAACTATTTCAACAAAGGCTTCAATAACACGTGGCCACCACGTTGTGTTCACACGTCTG